CCAAGGCCCCTTGGGTTAAGCTAAACATTGATGGCGCATTCGACAGACATACCGGAGCTGCTGGAGGAGGGGGCCTGATGGGGCACTCGTCTCTGCCTTCCATTGGCCACTTTGGGCCTCCTCGAGTTCTGATGCAGAGATTCAGGCGCTCCAGATCTGTCTTGAGATTGCCGCCTCGATCTCCTCTCATATCTGGATAGAGATGGATGCTGCAGCTGTCATCACACTTTTGACATATGGCCACCATGGCTCATGGAAGATCCAGCATTCCCTTATGCGCACCAGAGACACCCTCCGTTCGATCCATTACCAGGTCTCACACACATTCCGAGAGGGGAATCGGCCCGTTGATTTCCTTACTAGCACGGGGGCAGCTATACCTCAGAGACGCATCCTTCATCCTGAGACATTCTTCTCCGGCTTCGGACGCTCATTCGGATGGACCAGCTAGAGTACCCATTCTTCAGATTTGGACGACCGCCACCACCTGACCCTGACTAGACTTGTCGTTTTGGACCTCATGTCAGGTCACTCTGACAAGGACGACCTTTTATGAGGACTTGATTTTAGATCCACATCGGATATTTTGTGATCCTTGTACATTTTTTGTTTTTCTGTTTTGATTTTGTTCTTTGTTTAAAAAAAAAATCACATAAGATGGTAGCCAAATAAGCAATGTGTTCTTTTAAATATAAATACTAATATAATTATTCAAAAAAGTATTTGCAAATTTATTTTTTTATTATTTTTAATTTTAAATATAAATTTTTTAACAAACACCCGTGCAATACCGTGTATTCTACTAATAATATTTAATTTTTTTTAAAAAAAACTAAAGAATCCAGTGTGTTATAAAACCTCGATCTCATAATTGATATATTATCTAGTTTATATAGCTAGGATTGTTAGTGAACGGAGAAATTGCCGTAATAATCGATTCGACAAAAGCTCGTTCAAGTTTTTATTATTTATTTTGTTAATTTTTGAACGAGTTCTTTGAACGCTCGTGGCATAGTTAATGGAAAGCTCACATAACTTAAATTAAGATTTTAAACACGTAATTATAGGAATACTAAATACATAATGATGCAGAATAGATATAAGTATTATTATTATTATTAAATGATGCAGAATAGATATAAGTATTATTATTATTATTATTATTATTATTATTATTATTATTGTTATTATTATTATTATTATTTAATAATTAGTAGTAGCTTAGAGAATAAGCTAGGTTTAGTTTGTGAGGTTTATTTAAAGAATTCTTATGCTGTGTGAGGGAGGAGAATTTGATGAATGAAAATAATTGATCGTGTTTTCTTTTGGGAGAGTATCCCGTGTTCTGGAGAGAGTATCTCCTTTTATCTTCCCATTTGTACATGCTTTTGCTACATCAGTTGGTATCAGACGTCAGCTACGATCGGACGATGCCGCCAACGAGAAAAAATATTGTGACCACCATTGCAGATCGATTCCAGAGGATGGATGATCGACTTCAACGGCTGGATGATCGATGCACGGATTTCTCTACCGGGATCG